AGATAAAGTTTCTGATATTACAACCATTGGCAAGATCTATCTAAGAGAGAATATAATAAGACTTACATTCTTATTTACTCTACAGTGTTTTTATGTTTTAATATATTTCTCTAGTGATTTCTTGGTTAATGGTGCAAGAACGTTTTGGACTTGTATTCGCATCAATAGGCTCCAGTCATGTTTATTTAACCTTCACTCTGTTGGACTGTTTACACTCCTGGAACATGTTCAGATTTCTTTACATTTCTCAGACTTTCTTATTTATAAAGGCTGAGCTTCTTGTGACCTCTCTATTCATACTTCCTTTACCCCCCAGCAATAAAAAGAACAAAATACCCAGTGTCCTATTTATTTATTTTCAAATCTTTTACTTGCTTAAAGGAGTGGCTTTTCAATTATAAATGAAAATGGTAACCAGATGTTTACAGACCATGCCAGCATTTTCCCTTTAGGCTTCTAATGTTTTTATTACTCTTAGTTAGAATATTAGGCCCTTTATTTTTAATTTTAAAAAAAAACTTGCAAACAGCTTGCATTCTGTAAACATTGCTTTGTTGTATACATGACTGCAGTTGAAAGCACAGCTTATTTTCTCTTTTCCATGCTACTTTTCCATGTTGTTAATTGATCAACATATAAATTTACCCGTGGAAAGAAAAGTATCTGAAAGAAAAATATCCAACCTGATTGGATATATTTGTACATGAAAGTAGACCAGAATTATAAAGGACTCAGGCTTATCAAAACTGGATTGCTCTAGTTTTGCTTCTCCTTCCAACTGAGTTGGATGAACTAACTCAGATGACTTCAAATAAGACCAAGCAAAGGCCTACAACAAGCTATGCTCTTACAGATCTAGCTTGGTAAATAGTTTACTGCATTCAGGATTAATATATTCTGGGTGGTACATAAGCAAAGTATGGATGGAGTGGATGAGAAGGCATCAAGGCATCACTGCACCCACCACTGCAGTGTTTCTCAACCTTGGCAACTTTAAGATGTGTGGACTTCAACTCCCAGGCTTCCCCAGCCCAGGGAATTCTGAGAATTCAAGTCCACACATCTTAAAATTGGTAAGGTTGAAAAACACTGCACCACTGTGTTGCTTACAGTGGGACACAGCTCATGAATAAAGATAATTTATTTATATTACAGCTTGTAACACTTGGATTCAAAGGCAAAAAGGCGCTTCTGAGCAGGCAGGAGCATAAACATGGCCACTGTCTACAATTCTTAAACCAGCTACAACTTTTTCCAGGATCACATGGCTGCCTTCCAGCCTATTTATCTTTAAATCCAAAACAATGCATAGCCCTAATCTATGTGAAATATTCATATCCAAGAAATTGATATAGAAAACTGTTTTGTCGTAATGTTATCATTGACAGAAAGTGGCATGATAACTCAGGGTTATTAAAAACAGGGGTTAGTGACAAATTCTCTTACAATAGGAATGACCCACCTTCTGCAGAATGCCAGGCCTCAACTGATTTTTACAACTCTTGGAACTGAAAGCAAAGAATTACTCATCTTTATGACATCTAAAGCAGTGTTTCTCAACCTTGGGAACTTTAAGATATGTGGACTTCAACTCCCAGAATTCCCCAACCAGGCTTGGTGGCCTGGGGATTCTGGGGGGTGTGGGCCACATCTCTTTAATGTTCCCACGTTGAGGAACACTGCCTTAGGTGGCATTAAGGTT